TAAAACATTGCAATCATTCTTTTTTAATTAAAAATTTGCGAAACAAATTTTAAAGATTTGATCTAGCAGTTTCAATTTTACAAATAAAAACCACCAATAATGGGAATCAAATATAGATCTCGTATTGTATTGCAAATTAATATAAAAAATATTATTATATTTTTTATAGTAATTTGCAAAAAAATATTACATATTCATTTAAAAAGATCAAGTAAAAGAATTCCAAAAGAGACAAAATAAACATTTCTAGCAAAAATGTATTTCTTCTTTTTATTTCAGTTATAAAAAATACAAAACTACAAACTTTTTTTGCTCAATGGAGAGTTTTAGGCAATCTAAGCAACATGAGAGATTATTTTTAGTAACATGTTGGTATGAGTTGATATAGTTATCTGGAAGCCTATTTCAGTATTCTGTGTTGTTGGAATAAACTGAAGCAGGCAATCAGTTAACAGAAAATCTAGCAACAAATTAATGTAAGTACTCAAAGAAAATTTAACTATTATTAAACCATTTTAATAAAATAAAAATAAAACAATTATGGTGCAAACAAGACTCTTAACTATAACAAAAATTAAGTTTTTATACTTGAGCCGTAAAAAAACTGGCCTCTTAATTTTTTACGGAAAATGCAACAAATCTGATTATCTTTTTTAGCTACAGATGCTTTTCTAATATTTAATGCTTTTTAATATATAAAAGCATTAATGTTTTGTACTGACATCCGCATTACGCATCGTATAGACGTAGGCAGGAGGTAAAAGTAATGCGGTTGGCCCGACGTAATCCTACCAAAGTAGAAAAGACGTTTTTTTAATTGGTTGGCCCGACATAAAGATATAAACGTAGGCAGGACGTCCTATTGAGTTCGGTGGCCCATATACTAAATTCCGACGTTGGGCCAACACTTGGTGTTATCTGGGATGCTGTTTCCCAGCAAACATGTAAGCGTTGAATCAACGTTGAAAACCAGTCGCAGTGTAGAAAAAGCGTTACAGTCACAATAACAACGTGCTTTCAACGTTAAATCAATGTCTGTTTTTGTATACTAAATCGTGGTAAATTAAAACGTTGAATAAGCGTTGAAATTGTAACGTAACTTAGCCTCTCAAAATAAAACGTTTATTCAACGTGGAATCAACTTACGCAAAAAGCCACTTTAAAAACGTTTCGAAGTATATTCTTTATCAACGTTACAGACAAACCGCTTTTTAAACGTTACATTTTCAACGTTGAATAAGCGTATAAATTTAAATGTATCTTATCTTCTCAAAAAATCGCGTTTATTCAACGTTGAATAAAAGTACGCAAATAATCACTGTGAAAACGTCGCAAATTTTATGGTTTATCAACGTTAGACATTAGCTGCTTTTTTAACGTATTTAAGCTATTTTTAAAACAACACTTATTCAACGTTACATATACCAACGTTGAAAATGTGGTAATTATAAAACGTTGAAAAAGTGTTACTTTGTTAACGTTACAGGGTTTATGCGAAATATAAAACATTTTTTAAGAAAATATAAAACATTTTTTAAGAAAATATAAAACATTTTTTAAGAAAATATAAAACATTTTTTAAGAAAATATAAAACATTTTTTAAGAAAATATAAAACATTTTTAAAGAAAATATAAAACATAGTTGAATCAATAGTGCAATTGAATCAATAGTGCAATTAATTTAATGTAGTTGAATCAATAGTGCAATTATGATACATAAAGTTATTCATAAATTTCTAAAGAATAAAGAGTATCTTTTATATAATTATAACTCATTATACTTAAAGATATAATATAAAAAGCAAAGTATCCACTTTAGTAAAATTCTTGTCTTGCTATGCCTTTCAAAACCCATCTTCTCATATTATAATACCAACCACAAAAATCAACGCCAATTGTCGGTATAAGCGAATTTAAAGTAGCCTTAACTTCATTGCTAGTTTTTGGAAACGGCCTTATAGAAGTATAATTAGCTTTAAGACAACTATAGTATTCCTCAATCGGGTTCAATTGTGGTGAATAAGGTGGCAAAAAGTAAACTGAAACACTGGATTGGCTGAGCAAATTGATTACATCTATTCTACGGTAAAATGCTCAATTATCCAATACTAGTACAGAATGGGGATACGTTTGGAAATACGGTCTTAAATTGTTGGTTATAAAATCGCAAAAGGGATTGCCATTATAGGCACTATCTTAAAGCTTAAAATACCATTAACTGTTATAGCGGCCATGAGACTTACATTCTTTCCACGATTTGCTGGCACTGTAACAAAACATTTTGTATTCTTTATAGAATAACCATACTGTTTAGAAGTATGTAAATTAAAGCCTTTTTCATCTAGAAACACTAAGTTATTGTCAGGAATCGAATTAATAGTCCTACAAAAACTTTGTCTTAAATCAATGTTTTGCGGCGAGTTCCTTTCTTTTGGTACTAATGTAAGTCGTTTTCTAGTGAACTCCATCGATTTCAAATATTTAGATATTGTTGGTATA